AATATGGGGTTCCTTGGCCTCTGAGTGTGTTATAGAAATCATCACGTGTAACTAAGAGTTTAAGAGCCCTTCCAGTTCTGGAAATTAGCAATATAGAGAAGAGTCAGGGGAAAGGCCTGGCTAAGAACTCAGGCTCTGGAAGCAAACTGCCTGTGTTCAGATCCCCATTCCTCCATGTGACCTAAGGTTTATTACTTGACTTCTATAAACTTCCTTATCTATAACATGATGATAAAAGGATCTGTTATGAGATTGTTGTAAGGCACTTAATGAATTAACACAGAGTGACAGAAGAATAAACATTTCCCCAATTGAGTATCTTCAAAAAACAAAGGTAGGGTTTTGGGTGAGGACTGGCCTGAGGGCTGATTTGGGAGTCATTATTGTGTGAAGCCGTGGAAGGCCTGAATGTGGATGATCATTGAAAGTAAGAAATGGGGAGATCAGAGCTTTGGGGGTCAATCAGTTTAGGGGGCTGGAGGAAGAGGCAGAGTTAGTGAAGAAAATCAAACCTAGGATTCAAGATGGAAGAAACTAGAAAAGTGCCAAGTCACTGAGGCCAAGGAGGAAAGCACCAGTGAAGGGATACCTGTGCAGCACCGTTGGGGGCTATAGGCTGGTGAGGTGGGGGTAGAGGGAAGGCCCTGGGCTTGACTGAGCAGAGCTGGAAAGGCTAGGGTAGAGCCATGTTTGTGTCCATATCTTCTAGGGGTAGATGTGATAAATGGGGCCCTGGAGTCAGTCCTATCCTCCAGTAGCCGTGAGCAGTGGACCCCAAGTCATGTCAGCGTGGCCCCTGCCACCCTCACCATCTTGCACCAGCAGGTAAAGACCGGGGGTGGGAGAAGGTATGGCAGTGCTTTGCCATGGTGAGGAGACTAGGGGGTAGGGGGAGAACTGCCAGTAAGGTGGATGTGCCCGGTAGAACACAGAGTCGGGGAGCTTACTCACTGGGTTCCCTCCCTCTAGACAGAGGCAGTGCTGGGGGAGTGTCGGGTACGCTTCCTCTCCTTCCTGGCAGTGGGCAGAGATGTCCACACGTTTGCATTCATCATGGCTGCCGGCCCAGCCTCCTTCTGCTGCCACATGTTCTGGTGTGAGCCTAATGCTGCCAGCCTCTCTGAAGCCGTGCAGGCCGCGTGCATGGTAAGAGGGTATGGTGGTGGAGTGGTGACACTGACCCAGGTGTGGCAGTCTGGAGAGTGACTGTCCCGCCTGCTTCTCTGCAGCTCCGCTACCAGAAGTGTCTCGATGCTCGCTCCCAGGCCTCCACCTCCTGCCTCCCGGCACCCCCTGCTGAGTCTGTTGCCCGGCGTGTAGGGTGGACTGTCCGCAGGGGTGTTCAGTCGCTGTGGGGCTCCCTCAAGCCCAAACGCCTAGGAGCCCATACCCCTTGAAGTCCTCAGTTCTCCCTCAACCTGCTTGCATTGGGCCCCAGGGAACTCAAAGGTATGGGGTAGGGGATGGGGCTAGAGGCTATTCTTAGGCCTCAGCCTCCCCCTTCCCAAACGACCCCTCCTCAGTAGCTGGGTTCCCTGCCTGGGGGCTGGGAAGGGAGACATCTCATCCCTTCAAGGAAGTGAAAATACTAGATTGATGACAAGAGGAACAGGAAGCAAGCCAGCCCTGGGCTCTCTGTCCCCATTTCAGGTAGAGCAGGATGAACTGGTCCAGGCCAGGCCCCATCTTTATAGGGTCCAGCAGGGGCAGAAGGAGGGGACCAGTCCAGACATGGATCCCTCCCCACTGCTCCATGGCACCTCTACTGTACTGATACTACTAATAAATTCTGTCTGCCCTGCCGAGAAAAAAGTCTGTGTGCCTTCCTGTACCTGTGTCACACCATCACCCCTATCACTCTGATTCCTCAGTTAGGACCATGCTCCCAAGGCCCCATTGCTCTGCCTGCTTTGGAAGAAGAAATTGGGACAGTCACAGAGAGCTCTGGAGTCCAAGTCTCTAGCTTTATTTTAACAGCCTGGCAGTCAGGCAGCAGCAGCAGTACTGTGTCCTGTCTGGCCAGCACAGGCATGGGGCCACAGCTCCTGTCTGGTCTGCCCAGGGCAATGCCAACTGAAACCTCTGCTCCATATCTGAAAGGACAACAGCCCCAGGGCAGCCTAGATGCTGGGTTCAGTCAGAGCTGCCAACCCCGCTGTGTGTCTTGCCAAACCAGCACCAAGAATGGAGAAGGTGCTGCTTCCCCGGGGATGCTTAAGGCCCAGGATAGGCTCTACCACCGACCTTCTCACCACAGCGGCCCTCTGGGGGGTTTGTTCGCTTCCTAAGACACATGCTCTCCCAGCTCCGTGCTAGCAAAATAGTGGCCGGGGCCACAGACTCTGGACATCGGAAAGGCTGGCATCAGGCACCAGGTGCCGACACAGAGCAGGGCTGTCCGAACGGGCGGAAAGCTGGGCGCACAGAGTAGCGAGGCGGCAGGGAGTGCCACAGGGCTCAGAGGGCGGGTGGCCCTTATGGTAGAGAAACCAGAAGGTCTGGAAGAGCCGCGTGTCGCCCCGCATGCGGTATACCAGGTCGTGCCAGGCAGCAGGTAGAGCGTTGGGCAGTCCGTAGGTTTCTCGGGCCCTGTAGAGGAGATGCCAGTGCGGAGTGGCTCCTGGCTCGTTCGCCTGCGTCAGGTTCAGGATGTAGGTCTCATGGTCCAGGACCACGCGAGAGCTCCCGGGGTAGTTGCCATCTATTTGGTAGACCCGGTAACCTGCAAGGAGGGTGCGCAGGCTGGAGAGGGGAGGAGCGAAGGCAACTCCCAGGAGGGAGGGGCCTCACCTCGCCCCTTGCCGGCCTAGCCTCTAACCCCGCCCCCTTCCTCTATACCGCCAACTTCCTTTATTCCAACAACTGCCACTGCCTCACTCACCAGGATTAAGGCTGATGTAGGTAGTGGCACTGGGTGCCAGGAAAGCTACAGATAGCGGCCGGCTCAGAGTCTCCTCGTCATAAAAGACTTCAAACTCGTCCACGTGGGTGTGGCCAAAGAACTGACCAGCCAAGGTGTTCTCATACCTGGCCAGAAGACACAAATCATATTCAGAAGATTCTAGGGAGGGAGAGGATAGTATGCTTTCTTCTACATCCTATTCAAGTAAGTAGCCTCCCCACTTCCATCGGGTAGCAAGAATGGTCAGAGGCTCAAGGGAATTTCAACCTTCAGAGTCTTCATCCCGCCACGCCACCTCCTTCCTACCTGGCTACAATTCGGTAATAATTCCAGCTCCAGCTCTTCAGGCAGTGCCCTGGGGGAATATGGCCAATTATATGCACCTGTGGGGAGAGGTGAGGATGGTTATCAGGGCAAGGAAGGGTCCAGAGAGAGGAAGAGTGAACGAAAAGACTTCTAAGGGAAACGGTGAGCTGAACTTCCAGAAAACACTATTTTGGAGAGCATGAGAAAATCACGCTTCTCTGCTCACAGATGCTCCAGCTACAGACAGGATTCTGCTGGGAAGAGCCTGCTGCTCCCCTGCCCTCGGCACCCACACTACCATGTTCCCACCACTCTCCCTCACCTTGTCTCCTCGATCCTCAGCAGCCTGAAGCTCCCCGACCAGCCACTGGAGCTGTCCAGCGGGATCTGTCGAGTTGATCAAGAGCCAGAAGTTCTCACGGGAACAAAAATTCATATTGAGAGAGATGAGGCGAAGGCCAGGATGCGGGGAAAGGGCATAGAACCCCCCAATTCTGAAACAAAGTGAATACAAGGGGTCAACACTCACTCATTATCTTCGTCCTTCATGCCCAGTCCTGCGCTAGGCATTTGGGTGGAGGGCAGAAGCCTACAGAACATCATCCCTACCCTCAAGGAGCTCACACTCTAGCTGAAGACCGAACAGCACAGATAGGGCCCGAGTGGCTGAGGAGGGCGGGTCAGAGGGCTAAGGGCTCTAGGAATTCAGGGCAGAGAAGAAAGTGAGCTAGAATGGAAAGCAAAGGCCACTCAGAAGGAAGATGACATGGGCTTATGTAAATTGGGAAAGGTGGGATGTTAAACAGGAGGGGAAGGCATTCTACAAAGGGCCAACATGAGCAAAGATACAGACTACCATGATATGGTATGCTGCCAGCCTGTGAAAGGGGGCGGCTGGAGGTAAGGGCAGAAATGGAAGGTGGGTCAAACTAGGGAGTGCCAGTGAGGAGAGCTGAGGATTCCTGCTAGAGCCGTCATAGATAATGCCCAGGTTCCCTGCTCCCTTTACTTTCATCCACCTTTCTTTCCCCTTCCTGGGTTTCCATGGACCTCAAGTACCTGAGGGTATGAAGGGCTTCAGCAGGCAGCCAGGAATCCCATGCCTTGGCCATCGCCTCATAGAGCCAACGGGAAGAGTGGTTGCCTTCTATGAAGGGGGGAGGAAAGCCATTGACGGGTGTGCTTTCGTGATTGCCCACAGCAGGGTACACAGGCACTGGACCCAAGTACTTCTTCACAAGGGCTGTGACGGTGGTCAGGGCCTGCAGCTGGTCCTGGCGAGACTGGTGCCAAACATTGTGGGCAGGGATGTCTCCTGTCCAGTACACCATATCAAAAGGGCCGGCGGGTCCCAGCCCACGCAACAGGCTCTCCAGGGTCCGCAGGGGCAGGTCGCACTTGCTGTACTCGCCCCAGTATCCAGCACCGAGGCGGGAGGGGGGTGGTAGGCCAGAACCCTGGCGGCAACATAGTGGGTCCTCACAGTCAGGGTCTGTGCCCTCCAGGTAGTCCCGATCCCAGTGCAGGTCAGTGAGGAAGAGGACACGGCTGACCGGGGCACCTGGGGCTGGGGGGTTGGGCGGCTGGGGGGATGGCTTTGGCACAGCTGGCAAAGAGATGTTCCAAGGTGAGAAAATGTCCCAGTGTCCACAGGTGGAGCCCAGGAGCAGGCCACAGGCTTCAGATGGGCTCAGTACTGAGTGTCTCCACACCTCTACCATGTCGTCCTGAAAGAGCTCGACAGCTGACTGGCAAACAGTAGGCGGTGCTATCTTCAGCAGCTTGCACAGCTTGATGGCCAGGGAGCCAACCCGGGCCACATTGGGCTCCTTCTGTTGTGGGAAGATCCAGTGGTGAGAGGTCAGAGTCAGAGCACAGGGACTAGGCCATCCCTTGGTTACCAACCTTTGGGCTTCCATATTCAAACTGGGGCTGGGCTGGACTCAGTTTCACCGTGGTGAAGAGACCTCAATGCACCCCTGCCTCCCACAGATATTGACCTGTGGCTCAGGCAGCACCAGGCCAGTACTTCCTCTTCAATTCTGTGGCCGGTGGCATTTTCAGGTCTTTGCTTGCCCAGCTGGCTTTCTTAGACACTGTCTGCAATGCGCCCTGAAATTTGGGCTGGGTACAATGACAGACTGTCCAGGGTTGGGGACATACACAGAGGCAGGGCCTTGTTTGCCTGGGGAGCCACGCAAAGCTCACTTAGCAACTAGCATTTATCATAACCCTATCAGGGTCAAGGCAGCCCCATCAAGTCCCACACCCTTCGATAATTCTTAATTCAAGTTCCTTTTGAGTAGTTAGTGCCAGGAACGGTGCTCAGGGCTGGAGATGCCAAGTGTAAGGCGGAGGGGACTCAGGCACACCAGGGTGGGAGTCTCAGCCTTCCCCTTGCCAGTTGTTTGCCCTTGGACTTCATCTCTCTGTCACTATTCTTTGTAAAACGAAGGTAACAACTATAATGAAACCAGCTGGCAGGCTTGATCTAACCTGTATAAAATGGCTAGTGCAGTGCTCAGCATATAATTTGCGGTCTTTCCTTACTTCACAAGGTCAGAATGGAGATAGTGGTGGCGTGCAGCCACGGGTGTCCCTAAAGAAGCGCAAATCCAGCCTCTCCATCAGGGACGGTCTTCAGGACCCCAGCCCCCAACCTGGCACTCCCCTTTGGCTTGCTTCACTGCAGCCCCTTTAGCGCTCACCTGCAGTCCAAAATCGATGGCGGTGAACAGGCCTTTGCAGGCTGGACAGGTGAGGTTCCACCATCCAAAGGTGTTCCGGAGGTGTGGCACTATGCGACTGAACCTGGCAGGCTGGTCTTGGGCGGGAAGAGGGTGGGCCCCGGCCGGGGTCCAGAGAGCCAGAGAGTCGGGCAGGGTCAGCGCCAGCGCCATCAACAAGAGCCCCAGGCTGGGGGCCCCCCAGGACCTGTTTGATCCCTGCTTCCGGCCGGACCTGGGGTGGTCTCGGCCAGGAACAGTTACTCCGTGGTGGGGCATGCCAGGGTTCTAGACCGGGCTGGTCCGCCTGTGCCGGCCCCGCCAGTCTAAGCCCTGGCTGGCCTCAAGGCCGGGGGCCGCGCTAGAGATGCCAGATTAGTCCCGCTGCAGTCGGCTGACAGCTCGGCAACCAGCCGCAAAGCAGCTCCACCCCTTCCTCTTCCTCTGTCCCCAGCAGCTGTTCGCGGTGGAGGCGGGGAGCCTTGACAACGCGCCGCGGAGGCGGAGTGAGCGGGGCGCGCCCTGGACCCGCCCCCGACCCCGCCCTGGATTCCGCCCCCGGTCCTGCCCCGGCCGGGACTGACTGCGCTGGCCGCGGGGCGGCTGGAAGCAGCTTGCGGTCACGATCGCGGAAGGCCGCTGCAGCCACTAGGCTCGTAGGCACCATGCTCCTAGGCGCCTCCTCTCAAACCTGCGTTCAAATTCCTGAAATAGCTAACTGCCAGGCCCACCAGGCCTTTAACTCGAGAAGGGAGCCTGGGGGCGAGCAGGGCTGGCCAGGGATTCTCACAGTGAGTGCTGCGCTTGCTGAGAGGGCACCTCCCCTCGATTTTTCACGTTCTGCCACTGGCATCAACCAGTACTGTCACGCTGACTGAGAATCTTTGAGTCATATTTGATTCAGACTTCTGATGGAAAGAACCCAGGGCTCATGTGGCGACACCATACTTTAATTTTATGGATGAGGAAACAGGCTTAGAGATGGTGAAGTGACTAAGAAGGGGTAAAGCCATAAGGGCAGGAATATGGACTGGAACTTGGGTCTCCCACCTGCTGTATCTATGATAATAAAGGCTCTGTACATGTTTCCGGCACTGATCCAGACACTTTATAATTACTGATCTTCAATTCTAACAACCCTAAGAAGCAAGTGTAATACTATTATTACCTCTACTTTATAGACAGGGAAACAAGCACAGAAAAGGTTAAGTGGCCTAAAAGCAATGAAAACCTAAACCGTTTAACTCCTAGAGTGCTTCTTCAAGATCCACAGAGCTACCAAGTCCTGTTGGTTCTTTACTTTAAGAATTGATTCTGAGTGACTTTTCCTCATTTCCATGTTCATCACCTCAGACAGAGTAATCGTGGTACAGTAAGAAATATATTTGGTCTTTGTCTCCAGTTCCTGGCACAGACCTCCTAAAATTCTGAATTTTTTGAGTGATTGGAAGCCCATTAAAATCACACCTGAATTTATGCTAAGGAGTTGATTTAAGGTGGGGCCCTTAGATAGACTCTGGATGGGGCTGGTCATTAGAAAGAAAAGTGATTAGAAGGTGAGAAATTTCAGCCCTACCTCCTAACCTCCATGGAGGGAGGTGGGGCTAGAGAGTGAGCTCTTTAAAAACATTTCGAGAGCTTCCTGTTGGTGAACAGTGTGTTGGTACACCTGGAGACAGCATGGGAATTCCATGACACCCCTTTTATAGGCCTGTTCTATTCCATTTGGTTATTCTTGAGTTGTATCCTTAATAATAAACTGGTAAATATAAGTAAGGTGTTTTCTTCTGTGAGCTGTTACAGCACATTATCAAACCTGAGGAGAAGGTCATGGAACCCCTTCCCCCCCCCAACAATTTATAGCTGGTTGGTCAGAAGCACGGTTGGTAAACTGGGACTTGTGACTGGCATTACAAATGGGGGACAGTCTTGTGGGACTCAGCCCTTTACAATTTGTGGGATCTTATACTGACTCCAGGTAGGTAGTGTCGGAATTTAATTGTTCTACAACCAGTTGGTTTCAGAGAATTGGAGAATCGCTTGATGTCAGAGAAAGCACCCCAGAATTGGCATCAGAAGTAGAATTTGCCACATTGTCCCTGGCTCATGGAAATATGTGCTTTGGGAAGAAAAAGGATGAAAGGGTAGAGGATGAGAAACCTTTGATTCCTAGGTGGCCACATGGTCATCCATGGTATGGAACAGCAGCCGTGCTGCAACCAGTTACTAAAGGTTGATGAATAGCGTGAAGGAAAAAAATGGAGTCACTATGGTGAAGCTGCTAGATTACTAAAATCAGGTAGGTTGAGGCATGAGGAAATGATTCTATTCTTGTTTTAGCCTGGGAACTCAAACTTTTGAACTTTCCTGTCCAGTGTCAATGCCTGGAGATAACTCGAAACCTCCAGATAAGTCTCTAGTTACCCCCTGAACGACTAATGAAAGAATGTTCATGTATCCAGATCTCCTGACATCCATTATCTAGAAGATGACCATTTCAGACCAGTTCAGAGGCTAAGAATACAGGACTGAGTCTTCTCAAGAATGTACTTTTTACTGTGAGAATGCTTAGTTTTCCTTTCTTTTTCTGATCACTTTGCATATTACCTACTTGTGTTTCTGGATGCTTAAGGAAATAGAAGCTAATAAGAAAAAAAGCAAAATATGTAACCTTTTGGTTATTGTTTTCTGTAATAACTAAAATGAAAGTAAGAGAGTGCTGGGTCAGACTTTGATGCTAGACCAAGCTCAGATTTTGGTCAGTCTTAGCTTTGGCCACTAGTCTCAGAAACCACTTTCAAAGGGAAAAATTATGAGGACAATGGAGTGTACCCTCTAAGACTCTGGTCACCAGAATGGTGGTACGTGTGGAGAGAGGACAAAATCAAGAAACTACTGAACCCAAGGGGTATAATGTGAAGGAGTTGTTTTATTTTGAAAATTTCACCACCAACTTCTTGAAGAATCTTTGCTAAAATGGACTGAGAGGGTGACAATTTAGAGGCAATATATTTGCTTTTAAATGCTACAGAATGGAAAAACATGTTTGGGTTTACACAGGATGCACAGCTCACTATGGAACAATCACACTGTCAGATTTGTTTAGATACAGTAACCCCTATAAATGCCAAGTAGAATACCACAGACGAAGCAGCCGATCTGTTTTGTATGGAAGTCACATGAGACTGACTTAATGATGACCCGGATCTTCATTCATTGACTATGCCCATTACCCAGGTCATGGTAAATGCTATGGTTCAGCGGCCCCCTTTTGCATGGGCACCACTTTGGCACGGTTCCCCTCGTGTAACTTGACTGCTGCAAACTCAAGCCGCAGTCACCTATGGGGTAACCTATGAAACTGCAAATTAAATCCGTAAGTCTAGTCAGCAGCTGGTGGGAAATGTCTCCCTCTTGTGGATGTTTTTAGAGAGTACCAGAGGACTAGGAATTTAACAATATAAGGGCGCAGGCCCTGAAGAAATGGTATCTCCTGATAGGCAATTCCAACACAGTGTGTACAGAACTGTGAATGGCAGGGACAGAGGCAAGGAAGAAGGGCTTTAGGTTTAGGGTCCCAGGTTAGAATCCCGACTCTCTGCCACTTACAAGTTATGTGACCCTGGACAAAACACATCACTTTCTGAGCTTTAATTTCTTCTTGTGTAACATGGAGATAATAATAGTAGGTTGTTGTGAGGATTCAACGAGAAAAAGAGTACTTAGAGCAATATACAGTGCAGAGGAAATCTTAGTATCTGATGTCCCCTCTTTAAGCTGCATCTTTGATCTGAATTGACTATCATTGATTTATTATTGATTTAATGAGGTCCAGCTCCCTCTCTCTCTGGCTTCCCATGCCCCGTTCATAGCGTCCATTGTCAGAGGAGAGGGCCTCAGGCTGCAATGAGGTGAAGGCCAAAGGGAAGAATGTGAGAAACTTTGAAAAATCCCTCCACCAGTGAAGATGTAGGGAACATTTATTTAACAGACAGAAACGTAGTTTCTTTTATTGCCAGGCAATCGTACATTCATTCACTCAACACACATACAACCATCACTGAATTCAGGCTCCCTAGAAACGTCCTGCAGTCACCTACTGTTATTCTTGCAGCCTTCAGAGGACCTCACTCTTCCTACCCTAAATGTCTCATCAAAAGATTCACTCAATGAAACCAATTCTTTTCTGAAGAGAGAGGGAGAAATTCTGCATCTAGAAAAATGTGTAATTTAGGAATTTCTCTATATTGTTATACTAGTAACTGAGCAATTCTAATCAGTCTGATAAGAACTTCCAGTAATACCTGAAACCGACAGCCTTAGTGCAGGTTCCAAGGGAGTGATTTGTCTACCTGAGGCCTGAGGAGTGCCTTGAACGGTCCTCTGGCAGAGAAAGGCTGGGCAGGTTCAGGAACAGAGAGAGAAGACAGTCGGACTGGAGCCCTGAGAGGGAGCCAGGAGCTGAACAGTGCTGAGAGCTGAGGCTGGCGAGACTGGCACGGCCAGATTAGGAGGATTATGTTCAAGAGTTTAGACTTAATCCTCAAAGAAATGGATGGATGTATTGTTAATTTTATTCATTTTCCCAGCCAGCTGACCAGCCATTCCCGTGCCAAACACTTTTAGAAGTCTACTCTGCACACAGTGTTGTGCCAGGCACCATGAAACACAGAGCTGACTAAGACACCAGCACCTCCCTTGGAGCCTCCCTCTTGGACCTGTGAGAAGAAACAGACATGAAAGCATAGACCTACGATAAAGAGCTTTTGAAGACATGCTTACTTGATACTGTAGGGGTCAAAGCAAGAAGTGATTGATGCCTGCTGATTGGGGAGTAAAGGTTGGTGGAGAGGAGAAAACATTTTCCAGAGGGGGCCAGCCTTGAAAGATGAGTTAGTATTTACCTGGAGGACAAGATTGGGAAGAGGTGTCTCTTTATTTCTCAATCCTTGGAGTGCACTAACCTTTCAGAACTTATACAACACGCTTCCAGCTTTCTCAAGGCCTCTGCACATGCTGCTTCTTCTTCCTACAGATTTTTCCTTTCCTTTCACTTAATTTCATTCTTCAGCTCAATTGTGATTTATTTGGGGATGCTTTTATTTTGATATTTTTAATTCTATTTTTCTATTCTCTGCCTCTCTCCTTCCTGCCTCTTCCTCTTCCTTCTATCATCATAGTTCCATTTACAGTTATAATTTTACATCTATTTATGTGCATATTTGATTCATGTCAGCCTTTTCCTGTTGACTATAAGCTTCACGAGGGCAGGACCATGTCTGGTTTTGCTCTCCATAATGTTCCCAGTATTCACCACAATGTCTGGTGATATCGTGATAAGAATGATTGCTTGGATAAATTAGAAATGAGAGCATAAGCAAAAGACCAATGGCAGAAAACACTAGGCAACCAGGAGAAATACACAAAAGTTTAGATAAAGGGCACTTTTGAGAGGAGATGCAGGACTGGTAGATAAGCAG